AGAAAAAAAAACAATGAAAATCATGGCTTCATGCAGAATAGAAGTTAGCTTTTACTGTATATGAGCTTACATTCAGGCTCTTTACAACAGTTTATTAATCCCAAAGTCAAAAACCCCTACCATCAAAGTAGCAGTTACCTCTGGTTCTTGGCCTGCACATTGGAGCAGTTTGGAGGTTGCTGCCAGAGGACTTCAGACTGCTATCTACCAAAGAATTTTCAAAGTATACCTTTGATTTTGCTATAAGGAAATTTTATTTTAAAATCAAATTTTTTGTTTATTGTAGGAAGGGAGCCTAACATTCAGGTGGTGTGATCCTATGTTCCTGAATTGGTTCGAATTAGAGAGAGGCTTGGGCCTGTTTTCTAGTCTGTGGCATGCCAGTGTTAGCTTAGTTGAGAGCAGTGGCTTCTCCCTCTTCCTCTCCTTCTTTCTGTTGCTTGGAGTGTTGCATGTTCAGTTATTCCTCTGCCTCCTTTAGTGATAATGGTATTTGTAATAAATGTGAGGTGTTAGCAGCATTGGCAAGGCTCACTGAGTTGGAAGCATGGCTCCGCACCATGGAAAACACCCCAGTTAGCCAGGCCCATGTACTGTTAGCTTGTTTGTTTGTTTCTGTTTGGTTTTAGGTACTTTGGAATCTGTTTTTCAAGATATATGTGTGGTGTCCTACCTACCTTGTGTGGACCCACCTACAGTGCCTTGCGAAAGTATTCGGCCCCCTTGAACTTTGCGACCTTTTGCCACATTTCAGGCTTCAAACATAAAGATATAAAACTGTAATTTTTTGTGAAGAATCAACAGCAAGTGGGACACAATCATGAAGTGGAACGAAATTTATTGGATATTTCAAACGTTTTTAACAAATAAAAAACTAAAAAATTGGGCGTGCAAAATTATTCAGCCCCCTTAAGTTAATACTTTGTAGCGCCACCTTTTGCTGTGATTACAGCTGTAAGTCGCTTGGGGTATGTCTCTATCAGTTTTGCACATCGAGAGACTGAAATTTTTGCCCATTCCTCCTTGCAAAACAGCTCGAGCTCAGTGAGGTTGGATAGAGAGCGTTTGTGAACAGCAGTTTTCAGTTCTGTCCACAGATTCTCGATTGGATTCAGGTCTGGACTTTGACTTGGCCATTCTAACACCTGGATATGTTTATTTGTGAACCATTCCATTGTAGATTTTGCTTTATGTTTTGGATCATTGCCTTGTTGGAAGACAAATCTCCGTCCCAGTCTCAGGTCTTTTGCAGACTCCATCAGGTTTCCTTCCAGAATGGTCCTGCATTTGGCTCCATCCATCTTCCCATCAATTTTAACCACCTTCCCTGTCCCTGCTGAAGAAAAGCAGGCCCAAACCATGATGCTGCCACCACCATGTTTGACAGTGGGGATGGTGTGTTCAGGGTGATGAGCTGTGTTGCTTTTACGCCAAACATAACGTTTTGCATTGTTGCCAAAAAGTTCGATTTTGGTTTCATCTGACCAGAGCACCTTCTTCCACATGTTTGGTGTGTCTCCCAGGTGGCTTGTGGCAAACTTTAAACGACACTTTTTATGGATATCTTTAAGAAATGGCTTTCTTCTTGCCACTCTTCCATAAAGGCCAGATTTGTGCAGTATACGACTGATTGTTGTCCTATGGACAGAGTCTCCCACCTCAGCTGTAGATCTCTGCAGTTCATCCAGAGTGATCATGGGCCTCTTGGCTGCATCTCTGATCAGTCTTCTCCTTGTATGAGCTGAAAGTTTAGAGGGACGGCCAGGTCTTGGTAGATTTGCAGTGGTCTGATACTCCTTCCATTTCAATATTATCACTTGCACAGTGCTCACCTCTGAGACTATCACAGTGCAGGTGCATTTATATGGAGACTTGATTACACACAGGTGGATTCTATTTATCATCCTTTGTCATTTAGGTCAACATTGGATCATTCAGAGATCCTCACTGAACTTCTGGAGAGCGTTTGCTGCACTGAAAGTAAAGGGGCTGAATAATTTTGCACGCCCAATTTTTCAGTTTTTTATTTGTTAAAAAAGTTTGAAATATCCAATAAATTTCGTTCCACTTCATGATTGTGTCCCACTTGTTGTTGATTCTTCACAAAAAATTACAGTTTTATATCTTTATGTTGGAAGCCTGAAATGTGGCAAAAGGTCGCAAAGTTCAAGGGGGCCGAATACTTTTGCAAGGCACTGTAGACATACAGTAGCTCAGACCAATCTAGCTGCCCCCCATCACTGCCTGAGAAGCCGGGATGTCAGCCAGGTAGCTGGGTGACAGTTCTCAAGAAACATAGCTCAAAACAAACATCCACAGTTCATGACCTTCTTGTTCATGTTTCAAATCAATTTTCCCCACTGAGAAACCATCCCTGGTAATTGGCGACTCCATAGTCAGAAATGTGAAGGTAGAGACACCAGTGGCCATAGTCAAATGTTTTCCTGGGGCCAGAGTGGGTAAGGTCGAATCCTATTTGAAGCTGCTGATTAAGGATAAACATAAATACAGTAAGGTTGTTATTCACATCGGCACTAATGACTCCCCTTTATGCCAGTCGGAGGTCACTAAAATTAATGTTTAGTCGGTGTGTAACTTTGCCAAAACAATGTTAGACTCTGTAGTTTTTTTTGGACCCCTGCCCAGTCTGACCAATTATGGCATGCTTTGCCTTGTATCATCATTCATCAGCTGGCTGTCAAGGTGGTGCTCAAAAAACGATGTAGGCTTCATAGACAATTGGAAAACATTTTGGGGAAAACCTGATCTGATTAGCAGAGACAGTATCCTTTCCACTTTGGGTGGTGTGGCTCTCATATCTAGAAATATAGATGACTTTATTTTACAACCTAAATTATGACAACCCCGAGTTGAGGCCAGGACGCAGGGTCGCAGTCTTACACGCCTCTGCTGTCTCCTTGCAGCTGCTACCCACCCTAAACTCCCAGTACCCCATAGAGACTATGTCTGCCCACCAACCACCTAAATTATATAAATCAAAAATCATCTCAAGAGGAGTTATTCATAAGAAAGAAAGAAAGAACGTCACTTTCGGCTTTTCTTGTTTAGGGGTCGCCACAGTGAATCGTCACACTGACGACTCGCATGTTGACATTTGGCACGTGTTTTACGCCGGATGCCCTTCCTGACGCAACCTTTACCACTAGCCTACCAGGGATGGCTTATTCATAAGAACCTAATTAAAATTAAGACTACTCCTCTTATAGAACAAAATAACAGCACAATCACATGTGGACTATTAAATATCAAATCTCTCTCATCTAAATCTCTGTTAGTGAATGATTTGATAAGTGAACATCACATTGACTTATTGTGTCATACTGAAACATGGTTACAGCAGGAAGAATATGTCAGTCTAAATGAATCCACCCCACCTAGTCACAGTAACTGTCACATCCCTCGAAGCACAGGCCGAGGTGTGGCAGCGAGTTTCAACTTGAGCCTGTTAATCAATCTTAGACCTAAACATAGCTATAAATCATTCCTGAATCTCTCACCCAAACTGGAAACCTCAAAAGCCAGTTCTATTTGTTATTGTATACCATCCACCTGCCCCTTATTCTGAGTTTTCAACCGAATTCTCAGACTTTGTCTAGTTCAGTGCTTAGTACAGTTAAAATAATCATAGTGGGTGACTTTAATATTCATGTAGATGCTGACAATGACAGTGACACATTATCAAGGCCTGGCTATGAAGGAAAAGGGTGTGAGTGCTGGACTGGATTTCCTGCAGTCCTGACCCGTCCCCAACAGAGAATGTGTGGCGCATTTTAAAACTTAAATTGCATCAACAAAGACCCAGGACTGTTGTGCACCTTAAGACTTGTTTACAGGAGGAATGGGACAAAATTACACCTGACACACTTAATAACTTGGTGTCCTGAGTCCCTAAACGCCTTTTAAGTGTTGTGAAAAGGAACAACATCATCACACTGTGGTAAATGCTTTACTGTCCCAACTTTTTTTGGAATGTGCTGCAGCATCAGAATCGAAGTGAGTGTTTATTTTGAACAAAGGACAAAACTGATGAGGTATCAAATCAAATAATGTGCTGTTGCATTGTTTTCAATGTAATACCGGACACAGATGATTTATAAATCACTCTTTTAAGTTTTAATTTTGATTTTACAAACCATCCCAACTTTTTCTGATTTGGGGTTGTACAATTGCTTGGTTGAAACTTGTATTTGTAATTCTCTAATTGAAATAGTCTCATCACAACAATAAGGAGCTACTGAACTTTCATGCAGGGTTTTGTTTCTATGACAATCACTGGGGCCTGTGTTGTTTCTATCTTTACTGGTGTTTGATTTTTTTCTAGGTGGTGTTAATTTCTATGTAAGCCATGCTTGCATTTCCTGCTCATGCTGTCTACCTACAGTAGTTCCAATTCTACATTTATGCCTACCCAGTTACATTCCAGTCAGTAACAATTAAATGTGCCAAAGAAAGGGAGAGCATTCATATGGAGCTCAGTGTACAAGTTAAATGATGTTTACCCATTATTTGGCCCCAAAGAGGATGTGTCAGGCCATGCAATCATAAACCTACAGAGCCCACAATAAGCAACGTCATTTTCCTGACCTAACCTAAAGCATCCCTGAACCCTACCCCTATCCAAGCAAAGAGCAGATACGTGGCTTGACACACAGTGTCTGCATTGTATTTTCTCAGGTTAAACAGTGACTGGCCCAACTGGCTTGTAATGGCAGTTACCTTTGAGAGCCACACTATAGCAGTACAGTGAGCTGTTTGTTTTTTGAAAAGTATGCTGTATGTAAAATCTGAATCAGATGATCTGAACCAATGCTGTTATATAATGTCAGTGAACAGAAGCCCTTTGCAAAACTGTACTGTGTTGACATAAAATTCTATAAATTGTAGTTATGCAATGCTGAAATTATCGAGGATGCAAAAATTATATAAATTAGTTATTAAGCTTCTTTTATCTTTGCTCTTTTGTGTACAACTCTTTTCAGAGGGAGTGTGTGAGATATGGTTGACCAGTGAAGACACAGGAGCTTATGGTAGAGACATAGGGACAGACCTGCCCACATTGCTATGGAGACTGGTGGATGAGATTCCTGAAGCAGCTATGCTGAGGCTGGGAATGACCAACCCACCTTATATACTGGAACACCTAGAGGTACGTACAGTATACCAAGACACACATGCACCACTCGAAGTATCATCAAAGATAATATTACAATGCATATTTGATAAATTAAACTAAAATGCTTAGGTGCTCTAGAGTTCTTCCTTTTCTTTGTTGTGTTTTTGTGCCTATAGTCGCTTGTGCTATTCCTTTCAGTGAACATCTAATATTGCTCTGCCCCAAGTTAATAAACTAAATGCCTTTCTGTTTTGCTTAGCAAGCAGTTTAGCTGCAGCACTCATACTCCATTCATTAGTACAGTTTATTCTCTTTTTCCCCTTATGAGTCAATTAAGGACTATTGTGTCCTCTTTAGCAACCTCATTTTATCAGTCATTATTGTCTTCCCTAATGGAACAGTGAACACTGTTATCCCTTATTGCACTTTATAATCCCCCACCCGCCCGTTTTGCCGCTGTCGGTCAGACATGCATTTAAATCTCTTCTTGTTTTTTTTGTTTTGCTTTGTCTTTTACGATCCTCTATCTGTCAGACTATCTTGATTTTTTTTTTTTTTTTAATTCACTGTTAGAGAGACAATATTTTATCATTGGACAATACATACAGTATATCCTGCTTTAACTTTCAGACAACAAATCAAATTAAAGAGATATCTCAGGAAT